GATCTCGGAATATAGATGAAAGGTCACGATGTTCATAAAATAAAAAAAATTCCCACATAAAAAAGACTTTGACATTCAAGCCAAGAACATGCATGATAAATGTACAAATTAATAAACAATATATCTCATAAAATATATTCTATTTATAGTATTCTAAGTCTGATCTAAATGTTTTTTTATTAAGTCTCAAGTATATTAGTCCTTAATTAACATTATTTATTTTGCCTTAACATGATAGTTTTATTTAGGTAAATATTTTAAGATGATATAATTTTGAGCCCACAATATTATTTTGTATTCTATACTATACAACTTATTCGTACATGTTTTTAAACTCATCAAAACATCTTTAAAGATAAAATGATGATGGGAGAAAATTCAAAACAAGAAGACAATATATTAAACGAAAACTCTTCTTTAGCAATATTTTTTTGCCAATGATTTCACAATGCCATGTGGAGGTTGTCAATAGGCTGATGTTGAAAAAAAAAATAATATACAATTGATGAGGTGAAGGTATTATGGGAAGGGAAAAATACGAAATTTTGTTTCGTGCTTTCCCTTTCTTCTTTCATTCGCAGTTTGATGTGTTATCGCTCTCTCTCATCTTTCGCGTTCCCTCATCTCTCGCGTTCCCTCATCTCTCGTTCTCTCATCTCTATCGTTCTCTCATCTCTCTCGTGTTCAAACCCTAAAAACTCACCTTTTACTCGACCGTTGGTTTTGTGCCTTCTCGTTGTCTTGGACGTCTGTCTTGTGCACCATTGAAACCCTCTTCGATGTCCCTATCCACCATTGGTATTGTGCCTTCTCGCTATCGTGGTATTTTTTGGTAAGTAGAACTGCACGAACCCTAACCATCTTCTCCAGCATTGACGTTTTGTTCTTTCGCGAATCCTAACCATCTTCTCGAACATTGTTGTTTTGTTTATGTTATAACTGCAGGTCCAATGGCAGCCAAAAAAAGAAATGTAAGATGAAATGTAATTTTTTATTTTTATAGATGATGTATTATCCTCTGAATCTTAGTTAATAATAATTTTTTGTTAATGTTTTGTAGTGGCTCCTTCGTATCTCGATGGATTCATCCAACATTGTTGAAATGAATAGCTTACTAGGACACGCTCATGTAGAGCGCATTAAGATGATTCCATTTTGGTGGTGTTTGCATATTCTGAGCCATTTGGAGGTGAATTTGAAATTATTGAAGGTCATGGTCCAACGTTGGGCTGAGCATGATGTTAGTTTTAGAGTTAGTCAACAATTGGTCCCATTTACTGCTTTTGATGTGTTCATGACCACAAGTTTAGAAATACGTGGTCTAGGATTGTTTCCATTTGTATAAATTTTGTTTGTATTTAGAGGAAGATGAATTTTTTCCAATAAGATTGTTATATGTACAGATTGTAACCAACAATGATATATATATGTACAAATTGTTATTGCAATAAGATCACAACTTTCACGATTACTTTATGTGTAATGTTATTTTATTTACGTTGTGTGTGTTTTTTATGACAAAGGAACGCGCAATATTAATAAGTCTTTTAAATTAATCCAATGATTTACCAACTTAAGTGAAATCCTGAAACTTCTGCACCAAAAAACACACTTGTAACCTAGGTGGTGTCCAAACATTGTTCCTTTCCTCAATCATGGGGTGCCCAAACAAGATTTCCCAACCTCTACTCACACTTAAATAACAAAATAAAGTGAAAACCACTGGACTTATGCCAAAAAATTAAATTTTGTTACTATGATCACCTAGATTACCACAACTGGCTCCTACAGTTCAAGTCTCTGTACAAAACCCAGATTTTGTTCGTGTAATTGTTTACCAAGCACCTGTAAACGATTACAAGTGTGTTTTTTGGTGCACAAGTTTCAGGACTTCACCTAAGTTGCTCATCTAATAAACATTGTTCTTTTCCTCAATCATGGGGTGCCCAAACATGACTTCTCAGCCTCTACTCACACTTAAACAACAAAATCGAGTGAAAACCATTGAATTTATGCCAAAAAATTAAAAATTTTGACTCTAGTCACTTAGGTTACCACAGTTGGCTCCTGTAGTACAAGTTTATGTACAAAACCCAGATTTTGTTCGTGTAATCGTTTACCAAGCACTTGTAAACGATTACAAGTGTGTTTTTTGGTGCACAAGTTCCAGGACTTCACCTAAGTTGCTCATCTAATAAACATTGTTCTTTTCCTCAATCATGGGGTGCCCAAACATAACTTCTCAGCCTCTACTCACACTTAAACAACAAAATCGAGTGAAAACCATTGAATTTATGCCAAAAAATTAAAAATTTTGACTCTAGTCACTTAGGTTACCACAGTTGACTCCTGTAGTACAAGTTTCTGTACCAAACCCAGATTTTGTTCGTGTAATCGTTTACCAAGCACCTGTAAACGATTACAAGTGTGTTTTTTGGTGCAGAAGTTTCAGGACTTCACCTAAGTTGTTCATCTCATAAACATTGTTCCTTTCCTCAATCATGGGGTGCCCAAACATGATTTTCCAGCCTCTACTCACACTTAAACAAAAAAATCGAGTGAAAACATTGAATTTATACCAAAAAATTAAAAATTTTGACTATGGTCACCTAGGTTACCACAACTGGCTCCTATAGTACAAGTTTATGTACAAAACCTAGATTTTGTTCGTGTAATCGTTTACCAAGCACTTGTAAACGATTACAAGTGTGTTTTTTGTGTAGAAGTTTCAGGACTTCACCTAAGTTGCTCATCTCATAAGCATTGTTCCTTTCCTCAATCATGGGGTGTCCAAACATGACTTTCCAGCCTCTACTCACACTTAAATACCAAAATCAAGTGAAAACCAGTGAATTTATGCCAAAAAATTAAAAATTTTGACTATGGTCACCTAGGTTACCACAGTTGGCTCCTACAGTACAAGTTTTTGTACAAAACCTAGATTTTGTTCGTGTAATCGTTTACCAAGCACTTGTAAACGATTACAAGTGTGTTTTTTGGTGCAGAAGTTTCAGAACTTCTGCTAAGTTCATCACGTCACAAGCATTGTTTCATTCATCCATCACAAACATGAATACTCAATCAAAGTGGTCACTTTATTCATTAACCTTCCAAACAAAACCTCATTTCACAATGATAATAACGAAGGGAATAACATTTCAATTAACATTAACAATATTTAACGGAAGAAAAGATGCATCTTTTATAACATTGAACAAAATAGGTTACATTACACTCCTTTGTTCATCTAAGTACAATGTTTCATAACTTTCTTTTAACAAATCATTACAATTATCACTCATTTTTTATTCTAAGCACTCTATTTCCAATGTATGGAGTCTTAAGCGCTCTGCTCTTGTAACGCCTTCGTGATCCAACCCTCACATACGTCTTCATACGTTCGTTCAAAGTACAAATATACTTTGTTGAAAAAGAGTGACGAACGGTCAACTACATCAACAAAAACAAAATAAGCAAAAAACCAAAACCCAAAAACGAAAACAACACAAATTTAAATACCACATGGAAAACCCAAAGCCAAACCCAAAACGCAATGAAGAAAATGGAGGGAGAACGCATTTACCTTGCTCAAAGGACCATGGTCACCGGAACTTGCCATTTCGCACAATACCCTCAACAAACAAGACCACGTTGACCAAACGAACAGATGGAACAAAAATGATGATCGACAACTACAACGGAGAACAAGAACGAAGAGGGAGAGCGAGAACGACAAGGAAGAGGGAGAACGAAAACGAAGAGAGAGAACGTTGATTTCTAATGAAAGAGGGCAAGGAGTATATTTGGAATTCCAAATTTCTGAAACTCTCCTCAATTTTGACGTCATATTTTAACAATAAAAGTAAAGAAAAAATGGACCAATGAACTACTGACACGTGACGTTATAAAAAATGTGTTAAAATTTGGTTGTCAAAATATCGGAACCTATGTAAAATTGTGAGAAATCCTAAGTATCTCGAAAGAATCTGTGGTGATCAAAGTAGTTTTTTTTAAGGTTAATATAAGTTGGTATTCATTGGCTGTTTAGCACGGGCACCTAATTTTATATTTTCCTCCAATATAATATGGTATTAATTAATATACTGGTAGCTGGTAGATAATGACTTTAATGCTAGCAACATCTCATTCAAAACATTTTTGCTAATTATAAACGAGTGCTCAATTGAAAGGCTAATAAGGCTAATTTGCTTGTTCTGATTAAAACTCTTTTTATTAGAAATCAAGCTTATTTAGGCTAAACCAAACTATAACTTACCCAACAAGTCTTGTAAAGTTATTAGGATTGATCATCCAAAATAACCATGTGACAGTGACACAACTCAGCAAGACAAATGCAGATTAAAGGATTCTGACACCATATATCTGTAAAGAAGCAAAGTTTTATGGTGTAATTATTAAAAAGAAGGAAAAAGAAACATGAGTAGTAACTTCTATATCTGTTCATAGCATAAAGTAGAAGGACTAAAAGATGAAATAAATTCATTAAACCGGAAAAGATATAATTACTTTGTTCATTTAGGTTTTTTTTAGACAGAACATTATTTTCAGCTCATTTTGGCATATAAAGTAGTATAATAAGATAAACTTATTTATCATATGAACCAAATAACAACATAATTTTTATACAAAATATTTTACTAGTTACTTTTCAGGTATTCAAGATAAGTATCTTTAAAGTAGTAAAAAACTTATTTTACTTAAGTTAATGATTTCAAGTTGAGATCTGTTGGTAGCGAATGTGTGACAGTAAAAGTGCATTGGTTACATACAAAGTAAGGAGAAAATGAGAATTTCGTAAAAAAAAATATTCAGACTTCTGTATTTGGTCATTCCATCTCTAAGTATCTTCCTTTGGGATGATATGACAGTGTATATATATATATATATAGTCCCAGTTACTAGTTGATTATGTTTACCCGTGTGTGGATGGATACCTATGTATCCTTCCAAAAAAACAAGTAAACATAACCGTTATTAAATAAACTAAGAAGTTTGGCTTATATTACAAAACAATTACAGTAACCATTTGAAGTGATAGTATGAAAGACCAACATATCAGGACTACACACTACTTAAAAAGAAAATACAACTTCTAGATACATGTAAATTCCATGTATCATAATGCAGCTAGCTATATACCACCGCTACAACAAAAAATAATCCAACTATAATCTATATATGAATACATTTACCAAAAAACAATATCAACATAAGTGAAAAGAATCTAAAAATTTTCTTTGTGAAAATCGAACTTGGTGCTGGTTTTCCTGGAAAAGTCCAGAGAAAGCCTTTTCAGTTCCCCAACCAATCCATGCGCCCCACAGTAAAAAACACCTGAAAATATCGCAGCAGATGCAAAGTTAGGTGAGTAAACGTCTCAGGAATCAAATTGAAAACAAAATCAATATAACACTTACCAACTCTTTTGTCAGGGTGTTTGAGGGCTGTATGTTTAAAGACATTGCGCCAGTTTGGTCTTGCAAAATGCGTCTTTACCCTTGTTCCCGATACTATATCCACACCACTTTTGGCATGGTGAAGGGATTGAAGCATAGTGATCAAAGCTGACCGAGCGTCTCCTTCTTCGTATACACTTGTGCAGTAATTGTGAAGCTCAATGACTCCTTCCTTGTCATTCTCTGCCACCTCATTCATCACCCCTTTAAACCATTCAAAGGAACCTTCCTCACGGGTAACCCAGTAGAAATAAGCTCGCTTCGTGGCAAAAGCTTTTCTCTTGTTGTCCTTAACGCCACTTTCCACCACTCCTTCTTCTACGTCTTGATTTTGCTTGATATTGTTTAGCACGTCTTTCAGTATGCTGATCAAAGGGGTGGCACCGATTCCAAGCCCCACAAGAAGGATCACGTCATAGTTTTTGTAGTCTTGTGCCGGAGCTCCGTATGGTCCATCAATTAATAGCCTTGGCATCCTGAAATTTTGTTCATGGTTACATATCTCTTTTACCACACATTTAAAATGACATTTTTAAGACAGCTAAACATACCTTGGTTTGTTGTTGCCTTGTAGCATATCAGCTCGTAGAAGACCACTTTGGCCATCGTTTGCTGGTTGACATGCCTGCATAAGCCATGTATAGAATGTTCGATGATCAGCCATGTCATCAGAGGATTAATTCGCAAAACAAAAAATAAAAATGTTATGCAAAATTTACCTTGGCGAAAACAGCTTTCAGTTGTGATGTCCAATCACCTAAAGTTCGAATGTGAACACTCACGTAGTCATCTCCCGGAGCTGATGTAATAGAAAAGGGATGCCTACAAATAGATATCAATGCCACATAATTAAATTAACTTTGTTCATGATCACCATCCTGGTAATAGCTGTTATATATATGAAAAAATAAAGAACTTGAATTGGGTGCATACCATTCAAATGGGGAAACATCTGAACAGTTAACATATATATACTGTCCACTAGAGTACTTAAATCCTTGTGGTTTAGACACATGCAATGCTAGAACATTTCCTGGGTACACAGCAACCTGGAATATTTTTTGTTAAAATTTCATTTAGTAAAACAATTGATATATATCAAAGCAGAGATGGAGTGAAGTTTTTGAAAATATACGCACCTTGAGAATTCTCACAGATTTGTGGCGAGATCTAAACGCGCGAAGTAGCCTTTCGCATCCGTATAGTATCATGGGAACGGCGAGATACATCCATGTCTGTCGTGTAACCAATTAAGAAAAAACATCAATAAAGAGGATTTGCAAGAAAAAAGGGAAGAATGGATAGAGAGGTTCATGTGTGAGAGAGACCATGCACGTACCGTTTTCTTGTACCATTTTTTGCTAAGGTATAGGAAGTATCCGTGAATGATGAAAAGCACATAGACGATTACAAAAAGGTGGTGGGAGTACCAAAAGGCATTGAAACCGGTGAGCTTCTTGAGGGATTTAGGGAGATTTAGCCTGTTCCTTCGGAACCATGGTTGTGCCAAAATGAAAGCTATAGCCATAAGCACCACCATCAACACCCCAGTCCATCCCTCAGTTCCTTTCACAAACCACCAATAGTTATTGGGTCTATCATCCCCAAAAAATGGCTTCATGGGCTCGTATTCTGCGTCCGTGGCATGCAACAACCTTGGGAAATCGCACGTGAGATGTGAAATCGCATGCAATCCTACACCAATTGCAATGCCGAAGGCTACAACCTGTATATATAAATGTTCAAGTAAGTAATAGTACTGGTAGTAGAATTTAATCAAAAAATGATAACCAGTATAATTTGTTTTTGTACGAGGGTCTTGTTTTGTTTACCTTGTGAAAGTTGATGTTGTCATCAAAGGGAATTATTGCTCCTAGTTTGGTCCTGCTTCTGAGCCAAGTGATGGTGTTTCTGCATACAGGCAACAAGATCAAGGCCATGTTGAACTTGGTTGTTTCTGCGCCCCCCTTAGCCACTGTGACACAGTAGCCCATGACATGGAACACCGCGCGGTGCTTGTATTGGATGAACTTCCAAGTGAATAGACCAGCGCAAATGGAAAGCCACAAGGCTATGACCCAAAGGCGTTTCCAATTGTCCTGCACGAAGTATGACACCGCCCTAAATCCACGTTTGACGGGGTTGTACTCTTTCGTAGGGACTAATCTCTGGCTCAGCATTTGGCTCAGCACCCTACTATCCGTGGTTATGTGGGTTGATTGTGCTGGCGCTTGCAGAAGCAGCGTTTCCAAGTTGTACAACTGCATCACACCACAGCTTTACGTCAGGTAACATTTTTCATAACAGTATCGGAATACTGTAACACTTAATAATTTTTATACCCACTTCATATTTATCGTTTTACTCTTTAATTACTTTTAATTAATAACTATATTACCCTTAAAAATGGATTACGAAGTGGTGTTTATACTGTCAACAAATTATTTTTATATCATGTAGAAGTGCAGCCGCTGGTCCAATATTGGATGGGCTTCACCCACTGAAGGTGCTAAACACGCGTCTTCTCCACCATTGGGTGCTAAAATTTTCAGCAAAAAGAAAAAACAACCCAATTGACCAAAAGAAAAAGCACCCAGTACCAGAGGCCAATAATGCAGCCTACCAACCGAACGTAGGAATATAAAAAACAATGACAAAAGATAAACCTCAAAGCATAAACATATGAACACGACCATTAAACCATTTTCAAGCTGATTAACTTATTTTGTTTTGTATTTATGAATGTAAAATATAAACCTCAATGTATCCAAAGTTGTCCGGATCCAGCTCCTCCATGATAAGGGCAGCATATTCCTCTGCACGTTCTTGTAACTTTGACAACTTATTAGCTGAAGCGCTTAAGGTGATAATCTGCAAAATCAAGCATAAAACTATGTTCACGTCTCCACAAGTCTCCAAATTAAAAAATAAAATAAAATAAACAATCTAAATCATTGAAAAATAAAGTTTTAATCAGGAGCCATTGGGCATTTAACGGTCTCTGTAATAATTGTCTTTTTCTCTAGACTATCCGTANTGTAAACGATTACAAGTGTGTTTTTTGGTGCACAAGTTCCAGGACTTCACCTAAGTTGCTCATCTAATAAACATTGTTCTTTTCCTCAATCATGGGGTGCCCAAACATGACTTCTCAGCCTCTACTCACACTTAAACAACAAAATCGAGTGAAAACCATTGAATTTATGCCAAAAAATTAAAAATTTTGACTCTAGTCACTTAGGTTACCACAGTTGGCTCCTGTAGTACAAGTTTATGTACAAAACCCAGATTTTGTTCGTGTAATCGTTTACCAAGCACTTGTAAACGATTACAAGTGTGTTTTTTGGTGCACAAGTTCCAGGACTTCACCTAAGTTGCTCATCTAATAAACATTGTTCTTTTCCTCAATCATGGGGTGCCCAAACATAACTTCTCAGCCTCTACTCACACTTAAACAACAAAATCGAGTGAAAACCATTGAATTTATGCCAAAAAATTAAAAATTTTGACTCTAGTCACTTAGGTTACCACAGTTGACTCCTGTAGTACAAGTTTCTGTACCAAACCCAGATTTTGTTCGTGTAATCGTTTACCAAGCACCTGTAAACGATTACAAGTGTGTTTTTTGGTGCAGAAGTTTCAGGACTTCACCTAAGTTGTTCATCTCATAAACATTGTTCCTTTCCTCAATCATGGGGTGCCCAAACATGATTTTCCAGCCTCTACTCACACTTAAACAAAAAAATCGAGTGAAAACATTGAATTTATACCAAAAAATTAAAAATTTTGACTATGGTCACCTAGGTTACCACAACTGGCTCCTATAGTACAAGTTTATGTACAAAACCTAGATTTTGTTCGTGTAATCGTTTACCAAGCACTTGTAAACGATTACAAGTGTGTTTTTTGTGTAGAAGTTTCAGGACTTCACCTAAGTTGCTCATCTCATAAGCATTGTTCCTTTCCTCAATCATGGGGTGTCCAAACATGACTTTCCAGCCTCTACTCACACTTAAATACCAAAATCAAGTGAAAACCAGTGAATTTATGCCAAAAAATTAAAAATTTTGACTATGGTCACCTAGGTTACCACAGTTGGCTCCTACAGTACAAGTTTTTGTACAAAACCTAGATTTTGTTCGTGTAATCGTTTACCAAGCACTTGTAAACGATTACAAGTGTGTTTTTTGGTGCAGAAGTTTCAGAACTTCTGCTAAGTTCATCACGTCACAAGCATTGTTTCATTCATCCATCACAAACATGAATACTCAATCAAAGTGGTCACTTTATTCATTAACCTTCCAAACAAAACCTCATTTCACAATGATAATAACGAAGGGAATAACATTTCAATTAACATTAACAATATTTAACGGAAGAAAAGATGCATCTTTTATAACATTGAACAAAATAGGTTACATTACACTCCTTTGTTCATCTAAGTACAATGTTTCATAACTTTCTTTTAACAAATCATTACAATTATCACTCATTTTTTATTCTAAGCACTCTATTTCCAATGTATGGAGTCTTAAGCGCTCTGCTCTTGTAACGCCTTCGTGATCCAACCCTCACATACGTCTTCATACGTTCGTTCAAAGTACAAATATACTTTGTTGAAAAAGAGTGACGAACGGTCAACTACATCAACAAAAACAAAATAAGCAAAAAACCAAAACCCAAAAACGAAAACAACACAAATTTAAATACCACATGGAAAACCCAAAGCCAAACCCAAAACGCAATGAAGAAAATGGAGGGAGAACGCATTTACCTTGCTCAAAGGACCATGGTCACCGGAACTTGCCATTTCGCACAATACCCTCAACAAACAAGACCACGTTGACCAAACGAACAGATGGAACAAAAATGATGATCGACAACTACAACGGAGAACAAGAACGAAGAGGGAGAGCGAGAACGACAAGGAAGAGGGAGAACGAAAACGAAGAGAGAGAACGTTGATTTCTAATGAAAGAGGGCAAGGAGTATATTTGGAATTCCAAATTTCTGAAACTCTCCTCAATTTTGACGTCATATTTTAACAATAAAAGTAAAGAAAAAATGGACCAATGAACTACTGACACGTGACGTTATAAAAAATGTGTTAAAATTTGGTTGTCAAAATATCGGAACCTATGTAAAATTGTGAGAAATCCTAAGTATCTCGAAAGAATCTGTGGTGATCAAAGTAGTTTTTTTTAAGGTTAATATAAGTTGGTATTCATTGGCTGTTTAGCACGGGCACCTAATTTTATATTTTCCTCCAATATAATATGGTATTAATTAATATACTGGTAGCTGGTAGATAATGACTTTAATGCTAGCAACATCTCATTCAAAACATTTTTGCTAATTATAAACGAGTGCTCAATTGAAAGGCTAATAAGGCTAATTTGCTTGTTCTGATTAAAACTCTTTTTATTAGAAATCAAGCTTATTTAGGCTAAACCAAACTATAACTTACCCAACAAGTCTTGTAAAGTTATTAGGATTGATCATCCAAAATAACCATGTGACAGTGACACAACTCAGCAAGACAAATGCAGATTAAAGGATTCTGACACCATATATCTGTAAAGAAGCAAAGTTTTATGGTGTAATTATTAAAAAGAAGGAAAAAGAAACATGAGTAGTAACTTCTATATCTGTTCATAGCATAAAGTAGAAGGACTAAAAGATGAAATAAATTCATTAAACCGGAAAAGATATAATTACTTTGTTCATTTAGGTTTTTTTTAGACAGAACATTATTTTCAGCTCATTTTGGCATATAAAGTAGTATAATAAGATAAACTTATTTATCATATGAACCAAATAACAACATAATTTTTATACAAAATATTTTACTAGTTACTTTTCAGGTATTCAAGATAAGTATCTTTAAAGTAGTAAAAAACTTATTTTACTTAAGTTAATGATTTCAAGTTGAGATCTGTTGGTAGCGAATGTGTGACAGTAAAAGTGCATTGGTTACATACAAAGTAAGGAGAAAATGAGAATTTCGTAAAAAAAAATATTCAGACTTCTGTATTTGGTCATTCCATCTCTAAGTATCTTCCTTTGGGATGATATGACAGTGTATATATATATATATATAGTCCCAGTTACTAGTTGATTATGTTTACCCGTGTGTGGATGGATACCTATGTATCCTTCCAAAAAAACAAGTAAACATAACCGTTATTAAATAAACTAAGAAGTTTGGCTTATATTACAAAACAATTACAGTAACCATTTGAAGTGATAGTATGAAAGACCAACATATCAGGACTACACACTACTTAAAAAGAAAATACAACTTCTAGATACATGTAAATTCCATGTATCATAATGCAGCTAGCTATATACCACCGCTACAACAAAAAATAATCCAACTATAATCTATATATGAATACATTTACCAAAAAACAATATCAACATAAGTGAAAAGAATCTAAAAATTTTCTTTGTGAAAATCGAACTTGGTGCTGGTTTTCCTGGAAAAGTCCAGAGAAAGCCTTTTCAGTTCCCCAACCAATCCATGCGCCCCACAGTAAAAAACACCTGAAAATATCGCAGCAGATGCAAAGTTAGGTGAGTAAACGTCTCAGGAATCAAATTGAAAACAAAATCAATATAACACTTACCAACTCTTTTGTCAGGGTGTTTGAGGGCTGTATGTTTAAAGACATTGCGCCAGTTTGGTCTTGCAAAATGCGTCTTTACCCTTGTTCCCGATACTATATCCACACCACTTTTGGCATGGTGAAGGGATTGAAGCATAGTGATCAAAGCTGACCGAGCGTCTCCTTCTTCGTATACACTTGTGCAGTAATTGTGAAGCTCAATGACTCCTTCCTTGTCATTCTCTGCCACCTCATTCATCACCCCTTTAAACCATTCAAAGGAACCTTCCTCACGGGTAACCCAGTAGAAATAAGCTCGCTTCGTGGCAAAAGCTTTTCTCTTGTTGTCCTTAACGCCACTTTCCACCACTCCTTCTTCTACGTCTTGATTTTGCTTGATATTGTTTAGCACGTCTTTCAGTATGCTGATCAAAGGGGTGGCACCGATTCCAAGCCCCACAAGAAGGATCACGTCATAGTTTTTGTAGTCTTGTGCCGGAGCTCCGTATGGTCCATCAATTAATAGCCTTGGCATCCTGAAATTTTGTTCATGGTTACATATCTCTTTTACCACACATTTAAAATGACATTTTTAAGACAGCTAAACATACCTTGGTTTGTTGTTGCCTTGTAGCATATCAGCTCGTAGAAGACCACTTTGGCCATCGTTTGCTGGTTGACATGCCTGCATAAGCCATGTATAGAATGTTCGATGATCAGCCATGTCATCAGAGGATTAATTCGCAAAACAAAAAATAAAAATGTTATGCAAAATTTACCTTGGCGAAAACAGCTTTCAGTTGTGATGTCCAATCACCTAAAGTTCGAATGTGAACACTCACGTAGTCATCTCCCGGAGCTGATGTAATAGAAAAGGGATGCCTACAAATAGATATCAATGCCACATAATTAAATTAACTTTGTTCATGATCACCATCCTGGTAATAGCTGTTATATATATGAAAAAATAAAGAACTTGAATTGGGTGCATACCATTCAAATGGGGAAACATCTGAACAGTTAACATATATATACTGTCCACTAGAGTACTTAAATCCTTGTGGTTTAGACACATGCAATGCTAGAACATTTCCTGGGTACACAGCAACCTGGAATATTTTTTGTTAAAATTTCATTTAGTAAAACAATTGATATATATCAAAGCAGAGATGGAGTGAAGTTTTTGAAAATATACGCACCTTGAGAATTCTCACAGATTTGTGGCGAGATCTAAACGCGCGAAGTAGCCTTTCGCATCCGTATAGTATCATGGGAACGGCGAGATACATCCATGTCTGTCGTGTAACCAATTAAGAAAAAACATCAATAAAGAGG